GCTGATTTGGTGCTCAAGAAACATTTATTTTTTATCAATGTTGAAAACAGTTGTGCTTCCTAATATTTTTGTGGAATATCTTTTTGTGTATATAATATATATATATATATATATATATATATAACATCTATGATGACAACACTTAAATGTAATGGATGTAATGTGTTGCATCCAATCCATTTTGTAAGTTGCTGACACACATTCATCATTTTCATCCTCTTACAGATCATATTTATGACACTGTTAAAGAAGGCCTTTTCAGATATTCAAGGCCAAAAGAGGGACTATGGGCTCAAAAGGAGTAGAGAGACGTAAACAGGCCACCCCTGGCCAGACTCCTGAGGGCAATGTGGTGATGAGCTTTAGTTTCGAGAGCTATCAGCTGGAGGAAGAGGACTGTCAGGTGAAAGAAATCTCAGATAAAGGAGTGCTGGCCCTTTCAGAACCTGGTGAGTTCCTGCTGCATATGATGTGCCTCAATGTAACTACAAAATGTCATTTGAGACACTATTTCATATACAGTATGTTGTGTTCGTACAATCTGTATAAATACAGATTTTGGTTTGGCAAAGACTCAGCTTGGTTTAAAAGGTTACAATGCTTGGCATGTGCAAGCTAGGTCTAATCATGTTAGGTGCAGAGTCTGTTGTCCCCTCACGTTGCCTGGATACAAAGGTCATGCTTATTAAATCAGTGGAGTAGGAGAACATACACATTTATCTTTAGAGTTTGCTATTCTCTTCTAGCTAAGCATATAGATATATTTTACATTTGATGTAAGTGTTTCATTTTTAAGCATGATTTCATTTCTTCCATCTCTTAAATTAGGTATGTAGTGTTGAAGTACTAAAGCTGTACAACCATTAGGAAGCCATCAAGAGGTACAGAAGTGCGTCCATCAATCAGTTCCTCATCCAGAAAGAGAGAGAGCAAAATGTCAAATGTCTCATACATATGCATAAATATACTTCAAAGAGACAGCACACAGGCTGATAGACAAATATTTAAAACGTACATTTTGAAATGTCATACAAATAAAACACGAAGAGGGCTTTTGTTTATAACTCTCACATGTTGTTTGTGCATACAAATTGTGTGATTTTTGTGCGTAGCGTTTGAAGAACCTATTCCAGATGACCGTTACCATAGGATCTATTTTGCCATGCTCCTGGCTGGAGTGGGCTTCCTGCTGCCTTACAATAGCTTCATTACAGATGTTGACTACCTGCATCATAAATTTGAAGGTACTCCATTATATTTATGGACTCCATATTTTAGCTAGCATTAAAGGGTTAGTTCACCCAAAAATGAAAATTCTGTCATTAATTACTCACCCTCGTGTTGTTCGAAACCCGTAAGACCTTCGTTCATCTTCAGAACACAATTTAAGATATTTTTGATGAAATATGAGGGCCCATTACGCCGAATCTGGGTCGGCGCCGCCACACGCTCGCGTCATGATACTGTCGTGAACGCGCGTCCACAAGTGACGCAGTAGAGACGAAAATGTGGAATAAAGTCGTTATTTTTGTATTCTCGTAGCTTGGTAACTTTACAGCTGAACCATTGATGTCACACGGACTGCTTTGTCGATTCCAGAGAGCCCTTAGATTTAATCAAAAATATCTTAATTTGTGTTCCGAAGATGAACGGAGGTCTTACGGGTTTGGAACAACACGAGGGTGAGTAATTAATGACAGAATTTTCATTTTTGGCTGAAATAACCATTTAAAATTAAACAAATTATGGTTGAAATTTCTGTTAATGATCGTGAGTTTTAAAACATGTTGTACTTGTGTTTTCATGGTTATTGTCAGAATTGTTCATTATAATATATATATATATAGTCTGGCCACCATTTATATATATATGTGTGTGTGTGTGTATGTACACAACTTTTTAAATGAGCAAAACACATCTCTTACGCTTACACATAACTTATGGTTCCTTTGTTATAGCAAGGAAAAAAATGCAATAAACTTCAAGGTCACTTCCTCTTTGTCTTCTGTGTCTTTCAGGAACATCCATTGTGTTTGACATGGGTTTAACATATATACTTGTGGCCCTAGTGGCTGTGATCCTAAACAATGTCCTGGTGGAGATGCTGAGCCTGCACACCAGGATCACTGTGGGTGAGTGTGTTTATTTAGAGCAGACTGACACGCACACAGACAGTAAAGCACAAAGGAATGGGGGAGGAGGCCGCTGATTGACCTGACAGAGCTGCTGGCCTGAGGGAAGAGGGAGGAGGGGCGACAGTCCAGTCTGACAGCTGCATCGCTCATTTCAACCGGAGGAATAACACTCACCAAATACTGCTAAATACGCACTAAGAGGATGGCTCACATATAACCGAAACAGCAAATAAACACAGGAAAATTGCATCACAACAATACCGATTGACTGATAATACCATAAAAACACACACAGCCCCAAACCCTTCACTAACGACCATCAATTACTGTGATCGGAAAAGCAGCAAACAGGCAAAATATGTCAGTTTCACGCTTTTAAAGGGATATTTCACCCAAAAATAAAAATTCTGTCATCATTTACTCACCCTATTGCTGACCTATATGACTTACTTTCTTCTGTGGTAAAGATGATCATTTGAAAAATATTTTCCGTACAATGTTAGACAGTGGAGTCCAGCGTTGTTTTGGACCTCATTATGGGTTATATTATATGGACAAAAACACTGAGACATTTTATAAAAATATCTTCTTTTATGTCCCATGGAAGAAAATGTCATACAGGTTTGAAACGACATGAGGGTGAGTAAATGAGTTTTGGGAAAACTATACCTTCCAAAACCCTCCAAAAACAAATCAAATACAAATAATATAATCAAATATTATAGGATATTGCTTGCAATAAAAAAAAAGAGAAAAAAGAAAATCATTTCAACCGGAGGAATAACACTCACCAAATACTGCTAAATACGCACTAAGAGGATGGCTCACATATAACCGAAACAGCAAATAAACACAGGAAAATTGCATCACAACAATACCGATTGACTGATAATACCATAAAAACACACACAGCCCCAAACCCTTCACTAACGACCATCAATTACTGTGATTGGAAAAGCAGCAAACAGGCAAAATATGTCAGTTTCACGCCTTTAAAGGGATATTTCACCCAAAATAAAAATTCTGTCATCATTTACTCACCCTATTGCTGACCTATATGACTTACTTTCTTCTGTGGTAAAGATGATCATTTGAAAAATATTTTCCGTACAATGTTAGACAGTGGAGTCCAGCGTTGTTTTGGACCTCATTATGGGTTATATTATATGGACAAAAACACTGAGACATTTTATAAAAATATCTTCTTTTATGTCCCATGGAAGAAAATGTCATACAGGTTTGAAACGACATGAGGGTGAGTAAATGAGTTTTGGGAAAACTATACCTTCCAAAACCCTCCAAAAACAAATCAAATACAAATAATATAATCAAATATTATAGGATATTGCTTGCAATAAAAAAAAAGAGAAAAAAGAAAAAGAAAATACTATTTCAGTCTTCAGTGTTACTTTTATTTTCTAATTATTTGTGAAATTTTCTAGTGATTTCTGAGTGAAAATTGTTTCAAATGAAATCCTACACCAATCCTGCAGACATTTTCAGTGCGTGGATGTCTTCTTAGTTGTGCTATCTCAAATTTGTTTACATCCAAGTTCATCTCTTGCAGGTTACCTCTTTGCACTTGGACCTCTGCTTTTTGTCACTATTTTTGATGTGTGGCTGGAGAGGTTCACCACAAAGCAGTCGTACGTCATCAATCTGATGTCTATGGGTACTGTGGCCTTTGGATGTACAGGTATTTGTTCATACTTTTCTTTCCAAAGCCATCGTGACTGCAGAAGCATGTTGTGAGTGACTGTCCTTCTTTCAGGCTCACATTGTGTTGTCAACCATTTCCAGCCATAACAGTTTTTTACCCTATTGTGTCTCCAGTGCAGCAGTCCAGTTTCTATGGATACATGGGGATGCTTCCCAAGCGCTACACACAGGGCGTGATGACCGGAGAGAGTAAGAGGCTTTGTGTCATCAGATGTGGTCATGAAAATCCATGATGTTTGGGTAAAATGCAAAAACAAGATTCTCATTCTTTGTTGTTTTTTTCTTTATAGGCACGGCAGGAGTGATCATTTCACTCAGCCGTATCTTCACCAAACTACTGATCAAAAATGAGAGGAAGAACACCATCATCTTCTTCACCATTTCCATCTGTATGGTGCTACTGTGTTTTATCCTGCACATAGTGGTGCGAAGGACACGCTTTGTCCAGTACTACACGGGTCTGGTGCGACAGGGCCTGTCCCACGCCAAAGACCACTCACACAACGGAACCCAGTACCAGGTCCACCATGATGTCATTACAGAAGAAGTAAGATTTGTAAGTTTTGCATGCCAAATGTGAGAAGGACATATCATGATGAACATATTTATGGCCTTTCTCCAATAGTAATTCCATAATTTTTCTGAAGAAACAAATGTCATTTTCACCGCATCTCAAAAAAAAAATCAACATTCTTCTAAAATATCTAATATGTTCAGCAGAAAAAAAACAAAAAGTATTTTATGAATTCTGTTGCATACAGTTAAATAACAATTTATTTCTTTTTTGTGCATAATTTGACAAAATTACAGCTTGATTGGCAATAATGCACAATATAAATATAATTATAAAAAATATTATTATGTTTATTAAACATTATTATTATTACTATTAATTATATAATATACAAATAAAAAATATATAATATATAATACATAATTAATGTATATTTCAAAATACAAAATGCAATTATATAGTATATAAATATGAAAATATATAATACAAGAATAATATGTCAATATTTTATATAAATAGTAATACATTTCTGTGAATTTTCATTTTAACCTCTTAAAAAAATTAGTATTTTTTCATGTCATTGCATTGTTTGGAGCATTAAAAAAAAAAAAAAAAAGAAAAAGATAGTAATATAATGGAATTTTAGGCTTTTATGATTCAAGAAACACGCCGTCAAGAAACATGCTTTTAGTCCCGGTGTCCTCATATGAGGACATGTATGAAATCAACGTCTTGTTTCGTAACAGAAAGTCATATTTTGATTTGAAACCTCATAACATTTTCCTGAGATGTTGATTTATGACGCACAGTTTAAAAATTAGTCCGATTTAAATGATAATCACAAAATATTATCATATTTCCATAAGAGTGTCACTAAATTAATATCAGACATTTTTGAAGACCAAGGAGAGGGAGTGGTCATGGTGAAACATCCAAACATTTAGTATCTTTGAAAAGCCCTGAATGTGCTCTGTACAGGACATCCAGACTTAAAACTGTGGCATGTATAGTCTCAGAGAAATTCACTAAAATATAATGTCCTCATATGAGAATGCAGGGTCTCAGGAGGTTAAGCATGCTCTTCCATGACACTGTCTCCTTGTACTCTAATTATTCTAACATTGAAAGTCTGGACCAAGGGTAAAACAATGAAATCTATAGCTGAAAAATATCCAAAATAGAAATTCAACATAAGTTTCCTATAAGATGAGCAGTACTTAACAAGAGTTACCCAGTCATATGTCTAGGGTATCTAGAATAGTAAATATGCTCTAGCTGTCTCATACTTTTGCTGCCCAGCCCTACATGTGTAGTCAGTTTTTGCAGGCAAAGGTCCTCAAGAACCCTGTGCAAATTAAACAACATTTCTCTCCCTGCTATATGGTTTAGAAATCCATTTGGAATTAAATAAATCAGTAGCATTATCATGCTCTGTTGGAAATGTGTGATGAAATTCATTGGAATGCAGAATCATAAAGCTCTCTTTAATTTAGCTGGACTGTGAAAAGACTGTTTTAGTTACGCATACTCAGCTGTGTTTTCTTTCAATTCTTCCATAACTCCATTTCATTTGTGCCGGTCAGTGCTCTCGATGACTGTGCTCTCAGCGGCCCGGAGAAGGACACAAGGAGAGCATGATTTAAGTGCTCACTCAGACGCAGGCAGTTTGAGTGGAGTAATATATGAAAGCACTTCAGATAAACCTCATGTTTTTGCTGCGGGTGATAGACTAAGCACTCAGCTGTTCCTCCTCTCAAGATTTCTTCATCTTCGTCCAGAAATTCATAGGTTATCAAAGTCATATAAAAGCTATCATGGATTTTTTTCCTTTGCTGTTGGGGAAACGAGATTAACCACTATACAAGTCTATCCAACTTCTGAAAAGCCCAAAAATGTGAAAAGTGTCCATTAGGGGTATTTAGAATTGGTACAGCTTCAATTTATGACGAACAAAAAATAAATAAAAAATCAGCATCCAGTACTATTTCCTTTAAGATTTTTTGACTAAGGACTGGACAGATGTGGCTAATCTTTAATCTAGCAAAGACAAAATACCTCAAAATGAGATTCTTATTGTTCATTTTTTGCCTATTTATTTTTTTATTTATTTAATGCTAGTCTATGCTGGAGCTTAGGTGTAGCTTATGATACTCTGAGGGTGTATTTCTCCTGAGCAGTTCCCCGTCTGTGCTTCCGTGAGACCTGAATGCTCTTGTTTTATTCTCAGCAAATTAAGGAGAGTGGTTTTACTAGCTCAGCCAGACACTTAATCAAGTAATGGCCCTCCTCAAACAGAAAAGCATTACAATATCTGAATGCACTGCACGCTCTTACAAAGTCGCAGTGACCTGCTTGATACGGTCACTGGTTCTGTCTTAGTGAATGCAAGGCGTTTTTTTCCATATTTAACTAAAAATATATAGATGGTCCCTCCTCTGTCCTGTACGGATATAATGTATTCCGTATGAATTGTTCAGATGTCCCGTCTGTTTTCAAGGGTAATGGCGCAGTGGGCTCTTCCCCAACTGAAGACGGCTGCACAGATTTTGCTGGAGGAAACACTTACGTAAGGTTTGATGTGCCCAAACCAAAGATTAAACAGAGCTGGCCAGGCATCAAAGGTGTGATTTACAATACTGTATGTTCTATGTTAATCCTCATTAACAAAGAAATGATGATTTAACAGTGCATCAATACTGCAAAGCTAGCTGATACAGATAAATCAATAATCATTTTCATGTTATGGCCAAAAACCGATGATATTGTTGATATTTTCTATTCTAAAAATTGCTATTTTGTCTACATAAAAAAAAAGCATTTTTAATGCTACAAGTGAAAAAGATAATGCTACGGTATGAAAAAGATATTCATTATGAGATCTGCAAAAGAATGCATTAATGTTATTAAATTATTTGTGTTTTGTGTTTATTTGCAAATAATTAATAAGTTACCATGTGTTCCTAATAATCAACTATTTGTATGAAGTTTTTGAAAGAAGTCTCCTATCATCATTTATTTGATCATTTGATACAGTAACAATATTCATATAGTGAAATATTATCAATTAAATGTTTTATATTTTCTATTACATACGTTTTTTTCTATTTAATATATTTTAAAATGCAATTCATTCCTATGGTGGCAAAGCTGAATTTTCAGCATCATTACTCCAGTCTTCAGTGTCATACTGAAATCAGGAATAATTTCTAATTATGATCAATGTTAAAATGATACATCTTTTTCTTTGATGAATAGAAGGTTCAAAAGAACACATTTATTTAAAATTGATTTGATTGTAACAATCTTAAAGTTTTTAATGTTGCTTTTGATGCATCCTTGCTGAAGAAAAGTATTAATTCCCTTTTTTTTCTTTTGTATTTATTTATTTAAGGACCTAATTTTCATGTTATTGGTTAATGAGCAGTGACCCCTTCTGTTGCAGGCATGATCCTGCATCGTTATGTGGTCGCCCGTGTGATCTGGACCTACATGCTGTCTATTGCTGTCACTTACTTCATCACGCTGTGTCTTTTTCCTGGACTGGAGTCGGAGATCAGGAATGTCACACTGGGGGAATGGCTGCCCATCCTGATCATGGCCATCTTCAACATATCTGACTTTGTGGGCAAAGTATGTTCACTGACATAATGGCATTACAGATTATGTAATCATCTACATTCTTTGAAGTAATTTGACACCTAATCTTGTCTTTCCATGTGTCTAGATCTTGGCAGCCGTGCCGTATGAATGGAACGGAACTCGTCTTCTCTTCTGCTCGTGTGTGCGAGTAGTTTTCATCCCTCTGTTCATCATGTGTGTGTATCCGGCTCAGAAGCCCACCTTCAGCCACCCGGCATGGCCTTGCATCTTCTCTCTCCTCATGGGCGTCACTAATGGCTATTTTGGCAGTGTTCCCATGATTCATGCTGCAGGCAAGGTGGCACCTGAGCAGAGGGAACTAGCAGGTAAATCTATCACCCCATTTAGATTCATAGAGTATAAATGCACAAGTCTATGCAGATGAACAGGTGCTTGTATGTAAGCCTAAACCTTCAGAAGGATGCATTTATAATCTCTTCTCTAGAGATGCAGTCATTAACTTTAGTTCATGTGATTTGTTTTTCCCACAGGGAACATAATGACTGTGTCCTACATGTCTGGACTGATGTTGGGCTCTGTGGTTGCCTATGCTGCCTACAGTTTTACTGCTTCAGGCTCCAGCCTCCACTCAGAGACTGGCTATAACTTTACCCAGGGGTACTAGTACCTTAGTCCAAGCCAAAAAAACATGTCTGTTCCTGTCATCAGTCTCGTCAGGTGGCACCTTTGCCACTCTGTGTAGCATCTCTGCAGTCCCCATAAATCAGACTTCTGCTGCAGGCTTCTTTGGGCACACCTGCAATGCTGTGTGCCTGTGAATGTAGTCAAATGGATGAAGAAACAAGCTTTGACACTGTAAAGAGTTATATATGTGTGCTTAGTTGTGTTGCCTCTTCTTGTTCTCTGAGAGTGCTTTTTTCATGTTGCCAAAAGTTTTTTGGCGCGTTACAGATGCCAAACGTCAGCTGTGTGGTGATAAAGCCGGAGTGAATACATTTGATGTTTCTCCTGATTTAATGTCTGACTCCACATTCTGTGGTGCTGTATATGGTATGACAGACAAACATGAACATTTATGAGTATATTCTGACAGGTCTGAAGAACTGTACTGAATGAGGGTCATTTATGTCTGGATGCATGTAAAAGAGATTTGCCGAAAAGAAAACCATAATCTTTTGAGTGCAATATGGATACTGGACCTTTTTGCTAAAGCTAAAAGAATGTAAACGTCTCATGAAGTTAATGCAATGAAGTCATCTTCATTTAGGGTGTAACTATTAGGCCTATTTTAAAAATGCTGTAATAAAACCAGAAATCCATTTTCAATTGGCATGATCCTTACATGATTACAAGATTAGTTGTGATATTTAATAAACCAGATTGTATCTTGCAACTGTGGATATTTTTTAAATGAAGAAAATGTTATGAAGAAAGCATATGATAGCGGTTATTATGGCTCATTGCCACACAATTTACATGCTGTAAAATCACCTGACATTTATAGGAACAGCCAATGTTCACATTTAAGTTTCACCTTTTAGTTCACGAATCAAATGGAAATGTATATTTAAAGTACTTCCAAACACTATTTGGCCAAAAGTCCCACCCAAAACTCGCGCCATTGGCCGACAGCTGTTTTCAAGTTGTATGACTGTATAACAAGTGGCCGCGGCTGTCAGATAGACATAAAAAATTTCTCAAGATTTACTTCAGTGATTTCAGTTAGTGGGGACATTTTGTGCATTTTGTTTTTTCTAAATGGTAATAGGCGAAAGTAACATATTCCAGACAGCAGATGGCGCTGCTGCACAACGGTTTTTTTAGACTAGTATACTGTCCAGTGGTCTTGACAAACAATGCTTTTTATAGTATTTTATTTTGTGTAGCTAGAGGCACAAACAGAGACAGCGAGTGAATGCATCTAAAAACAAGTGTACACGTGCTACATTTCTGTTTACAAATAAATCTGGTTAAACACAAATGATAACCTAACATATTTACACCTCAAACTGCAGTTCATATTATGCAAAATGCTGGCCACATCCTCGGACTAAGGCAGAAAGCAGATGATTCACCCTGTTTTAATGGAAGAAGATTCTGAAGATGCTCTGTACTGCGGTGATATGCTGCTATGAGGAGGAAACATGCGGGGATGGTGGGCTAATCAGCAAACGCCAAAATCCATTAAAGCACCAGACAATTTACAGCTACTGTGAGAATAGCAATGCAACAGGCAATCAAATTCTAGGCAGTCGATCCCTTTCTGCCTGGATAACAGGCACAGCACTGGATTTCCTCCTAATTTATCTGACCTATTCTTAGTTAATAAATTCGTAGAAAAACTGCTGGGTTGGTATTAGCCCTCACCCAATTATTTTTCCTGAATATGACAGCATCACATTATTAGGTTTTAATTGCATGCAGCAGGAAAAGCTTATTTTCATACTTTTCAAACATTTTAGTCACAAGATTTGCAGTACTTTTACTATATGGACAGTCACCCTGGGGCAACCTGAGGCTGCTCAAGGGCATGATGGTGATGTGAGATCCCAGTCCCTCTCCAGTTCATGAAATGACACTACTGTGGTTTCAAATAGAAGCCCTTAATGTTTTATTGATAGGCATAGTAGAGAAAAAGACAATATATAATATGGACATGAGAATTGGCAGACAAAATGAACCGGGCTTTAACTTGTGTCACACATATGGGCGCCACAGTTCACTGTGTCAAAATGTGCATTAACCATTAACCTGTTCATTATATATAAATGTGCATAGACATATAAAATGATTTCTGTTCATATTATGAAATAAAATCTATCTTATATATATTATGCATTAAACACTAGGCTATAGCTTCCAGTTATTCAAGCACCACAGTCTTGACAATATAGGCCAATTTAAAAAAAAAAAAAAAAAAACGAAAAAAAAAAATATATATTTTGTATGATTTTGTACAAAATATATATTTTTAAATGCTGTTGCCTCAGTCTATGCGAAATATAAAATGTCTATATGCATATTTAAATGGTCTCACATTATGGGAAATTATGCTATTATACGACAATCTGACTTTCCCTCAAGTATTAAATAACAAGAATTTCTCATGTGTGAGGATTTATCTGTTATCATTTTCCCACACACCCTTGTTTTCACAAAACCACCTGAGAAGAGTACTGTGGAACCATTATGTATAGTAGTGTTGTAACCATGCTGGCCTAATTAACTCCATTGAGAATTAAAATAGGGTGTAGTCTCGGTCACAATGAGGCTTCTAATTTTGGTCTAGCCGCTGGAGGTTTTCTGGTGTCTAATAGTTCAGTTCCTGAACATTTTTCACTCTGCTCTAGTTCTCTGGCGCTGTATTTTGAGCAGCCTCCAAAACTCGAGAGGAGATGGATCAACTCGGTGAAAGTTAAACAGGCCAGAATGTGCCAACTGACATCCAATTCATCACTGGGAATCAATCATCTTCTATCTTTTGTTATAATCCCACTTTGCTTGCTGTCCTCTAAACTAGATATACACCAATAGAACAATGTCAAGACAGGTAACTTTATGGTTGTTTGGACTGACATTATCCGGCTTAATTACATGGCTACTCACCAAACATATACCCCCGGTTTCACAGACAAGGCTTAAGCCTAGTCCCAGACTAAAATGCACTTTCAGTGCCATTGTTTTGCCTCAAGATGCACACCAGTAATGTTTATTTCTAAGGAACGTTTATACAAGATACTTAAATGTCCTTAGAACAATGTCAAGACAGGTAACTTTATGGTTGTTTGGACTGACATTGAGTGGTTATCCGACTTAATTACATGGCTACTCACCAAACATATACCCCCAGTTTCACAGACAAGGCTTAAGCCTAGTCCCAGACTAAAATGCACTTTCAGTGCCATTGTTTTGCCTCAAGATGCACACCAGTAATGTTTATTTCTAAGGAACGTTTATAAAAGATACTTAAATGTCCTAACTGAACTATGGCCTAAACCTGGCTTAATCTAAGCTCTGACTGTGAAACCAAGCCCTAATGTTTAAATGAAATATTGGTTTGACTTGAAATTGTTTACATTTTTTACACTACTATTCAAAGGTTTGAGGTCAGTAAGAGTTTTTAATGCTTTTGAAAGTCTTTTATGCTCACCAAGGCTGCATATTTCAGCATCATGTTATGTTTTTTATATATGTATACAATAAGCCTATAGTAACAAGAATATCGCAGCAGTACTTCAGTGATTATAATAAAGAAGTACTCTAAGGTCATTTTCACTGTTTCTGTTTGAAAGAAGAGAGAGTGAGTCCAAGGTGTGATACGAGAGACATGAAATAGGGTCGGTTTCAGACAGCCTTGCCATGGATGGTGGTGAATATTAGGAAATACCTGACTGCTGAATGCCACAACTGACCAATCAGAATCAAGTATTCCAAAGAGCAGTGAAATAACTCATTTCTAACTCACACTGTTACAGTTTAGAAACTCCTGTCTCCCTGATTTATCATTGTTGTCATAGTTCTGTTGTCACTGTTTTGAACAACTATCTAGCCTAGTTTATTATGTTTCTTAGCTAAAAACCCAACATTATCTCTAAATATGCTTCTTAAGAGTTCTTCCCTTGGGAAAGTATGGGATTTTCATTTGCGTTCCCATGCAGCTGTGGTGGAATATTCTTGTTCTTCGTAGCGAGCTTCTCAGCGAGTCAAGGACATCGCCACGGTTACATTCATACACATTCTCTGACACACATACTTGCAACTGCACAGTATCTGATAGCTGTTTCATCTAGCACAAGTGTCAGCACACTCAAGCAAATACTAGATGTGTATGTGTTACTTTCCGCCAGGGACACAATGGAGTTATTTTGCTTGAAGGTTAAACTCATGAAAAAGACATGTGAATGGTTTAAACTGTGAGTATGTCAGAGCGAGAGTCTCAACCGTGACAGACATACTGATTACAAGGAGGTGCACTCTCAAGGAATGGAGCAAATCGTGAGCATCATACCATCGTACTACAATTTCCCCCGCTGTGAGACCTCTAATCGAGACAGTGTTGAATGTTTAATGACATGCCAGACACTGTGGCCCCAATGTTATGACTTATGCCTTTTTAGCCAAAAGTATGGGATTTTCATTTGTGTTCCCATGCAGGCTGTGGTGGAATATTCTTGTTCTTCGTAGTGAGCTTCTCAGCGAGTCAAGGACATCGCCACGGTTACATTCATACACATTCTCTGACACACATACTTGCAACTGCACAGTATCTGATAGCTGTTTCATCTAGCACAAGTGTCAGCACACTCAAGCAAATACTAGATGTGTATGTGTTACTTTCCGCCAGGGACACAATGGAGTTATTTTGCTTGAAGGTTAAACTCATGAAAAAGACATGTGAATGGTTTAAACTGTGAGTATGTCAGAGCGAGAGTCTCAACCGTGACAGACATACTGATTACAAGGAGGTGCACTTCCAAGGAATGGAGCAAATCGTGAGCATCATACCATCGTACTACAATTTCCCCCGCTGTGAGACCTCTAATCGAGACAGTGTTGAATGTTTAATGACATGCCAGACACTGTGGCCCCAATGTTATGACTTATGCCTTTTTAGCCAGCAAGTGTACTGACAAGTCCCATTTTATACAGACAGATTTCTACTGATCATCATATAAGGGACTAATTCAACAACAAATTATACATTCAAACTATTCAATCTATTTATGTTAGCTAAATTTTAAAGTTTATTGATTTACACTTTCTTTTTTATTTATTTATTCTGCATTGCAATAAAACAGAATTTTACTAGTATGTATAATTCTAAACTATGTGCATTGCTGGTGATGAGTCTGTAATAAGACAGTACGTCAGCATTGGGACATATTATAACATAAAATTGCAAAAAGACTGTTTCTGTCACAATCTCTAGATGGAGTGCCCGTGAGCTTCGTGAGAGGGCACTCCATCCCAGACTTCTACCACTCCATCAAAGACTTCATTTCCCATAATCCTTTGCCCGGACTTATGAACACTCACTGTTTGCACCTGTGTCTCATTTACCCTGTCTGCTCACCCTATACAAGTCTGGTTTCGTTTGTCATTCTTTGCGAAGTCTTGTAAGTGTTACACTGCATCTCTGAGCGTTT